AAGGAAGGACAGAGTGGGGGGATCGTACCGAACTCCCGAAAGAACAAAGGGGGGCGGGGGGGCCCCTCGTAAAGAGTCGATTGAAATCCCAACCATTGTGTTCTCTGCCTATTGTTGTTCTGTGTTCTCTGCCTATTGTTGAAGGGAGCAAGCGGAATCAATGGATGAAAACCGGCTGGCGATGCGCTCGAACCCAGCTCACCCTTGATACGTCCTAGCGTCTGCGGCAAAAAGACTACAGATTTAACAACTGCCAAATTCGGTGGACTAAAGTCTATGGGCATACCACGCGAGGCTAATTTTTCGAACCTTTGCTTTCTAAATTGCTGAACCTCCTTATTTGTTGGAAGAAGTAATCAAAAAAGGAAATCACAGAAGTCAACTCGATGCGATGGTGGCTTGACGAAAGCGGACCGTCTGCGACTTGTCGATCGCGCTATGCGAGCTGAATCTGCTGCATTGGAGAGTGAAGGCAAAATGAAAGGAATGGAGAGAGAGGTGGGTGGCCAACGATTATGTAGCTAACAACCAGTAGATGGTGGAAGACTAAACTACATGGATGAAAAGATATTTCTTATAATGTCTACCAATGTACGGAAAAGTCATTTAGATCGCACTTTCAGATTCGCACACTCGAGCTTCGTAACCACGATTTGTCCACCGAAGTCTGCTGGCTGCGTCAACGGTGCGCTATTGCCTGTCCAGATGTGAGTTTGTTGATATACGAAGGAGCCAGAATGTATCTTCAGTATGCTTTCTGAAATAAACAAATGTGCCCTGCACATATTGTGAGGGCGATAGGGACGACTCGGTGACGGCTATTCACCTGCCGACTACATACACTCGTCATCAGGACAGTTGGTTAGGCGGTCAAAGGGTCGCAGACGCGGCTGCGGCGCGTCACGACCGCGGCGATCAGCTGTTTCCAGCCTATTTAGCCATTTCTCCCTAATTTTCACTGTTTTTGGCTGCTTTTCTTGAGGTTAGTTGTTCCTTGTCTTCACAAGGTAAATTATGATTGAGATTTCTCTAATTTTTGCGAACAATTAAATAATTAAACAAACAATTGAACAAATACCTAAAAAACTGCAAAACACTTCATTATAGGAACAAAAAAGAATCCACATCTTAATATACTTCATGAAGACAAAAAACAACTTACCTTTGGAAAAAATAATACTTAAAATTAGGGAGAAAATGGTGAAAAAGGCTGGAAACAGCTGATCGCCGCGGTCGTGACGCGCCGCCGCCGCGGCTGACCTCTTGACCGCCTAATGAACTACCCAGATGACGACTGTACGTGTTTTTCTTCCATTTGGACCCTTGCAGCCATCGCAGCTACGCTCTAGTAGTGATACAGATGAAAAGTGGGTCTGCACTCTGCCGGAGAGTCGTTGTGAGAAATCGCTCGCTTATTTTTCATTCTGTGGAGTGTATGTTAATTTCACGCAGTTATTTCGTACCCACGGATCTTGCTTGGGACCCGATGGATGGCCGTCGGTAGGACGTGCCTCGCAGACTGCATACTGTACCCGCCCTCCTTATCCTTTCAACGAGAACACATTTATTAGCACAGTCGAAACTATTCATGGCATATGCCTTCAGAGGCGCGAGTGGCTGGGTTTTCTTTCCCTAGAAAACCACGACAAGAAGGCGAATACTTCACGGACTGGAGACCATTATCTTTCCCATCCATACTTATGTCTTTGCAAGCTCCTAACTATAAAATGCCCAAAAGGGAATGCGCATTACTGCTCCCATGTACTATGCAGTTCTGAAAACCGATGCGAAGTCACTCTTTGCGTCCTTCGTCCTCATCTGTTCTCATTACTCAACTAAGGAAGGCATCAAAAGGTCTAACGCGGCCTTTAATCGAATTAGCTCACTTACCTAAGACGTGGATATAGACCTGATCTCGAATCTTGTCTCCTTTGAAGGGGAATGTTGCAAACCATCTGTAATAGGGAATATGATAAGCTCGTTAGAAATATCATGTTGATCGAATCGCTCGCAAGGAGTGATGATTTCTGGACATAACTCAGGCAACGATGAACGAAAATTGACCGCGAGGTACCCGTTGAACAGAAAAGCCTCTTCAAAAATGGTAATTAAACAAACATTCAAATAGTTTCATTAGCCACACCATGCCGCACGATTTCAAGCCGTCCAGAGACCACCTCCGCAACGTCATACTCTTTCTAACGCTATCTGGCCAAGAACCCGCGGATATCGACAGACGCCTGAAAGGAAGTCTACAAGACATGTCCGCCAGCATGAATTAGCAGTCACTTGTGGCACACTCCGAAATTGCTGTTCGGCATACTATCCATCAAACGAAACCCCAAACACACCATCAGCGACCGCATATCATGCGACTCCGCCCCTACGCGAAAATCATGATGAACAAAGCCGCATCCTATCAAACCACTCGAGCATATGGCAACGCCTTGGGGTGATCAGGAACCTATTGTCTTCTCACGCCCTTGAATCAATCGGTGCAAGGTGCGAAACTCGTCAAGATGGTACCGCCATGCTCGACTAGCGGACATGATCGGCGTGCGAGGTCGCCACTTTCGTTGCTCACCTTCAAGTGCCACCCGGCGAGAGTAGTGCTCCTCTACTCTACAATCTCACCGCGTGCACACTTGTCACAAAAGATGGCCGACCAAACAGACGTCACCCACTCATCCACACACCGAAAAAGATGCTCCGATTTGCACGGAGCGTGCACGTCGTAGAGTACTAGGAACTCTCGTGAAAGCAAACCAGTACACCCGCCGATTCTACATCCATTAATACACAGCAATTACATGCCGGGCAAATCGCCTACTAAATTCGCAATGGCGCGTCCAGTCTATTCCAGCATCGACACCCGCGAGACCGCACATTGCAAGATCGACCAAGGCCGAGCTGCTGTCGTACAGTTGGACCGTGCTTCCACACCCACCGTACTCTCCAGACCTGGCCCCTTCGGATTTCCACCTTTTCCCCACCTCCAACGCCACCTGGACGGCCAAGACTTCAAAACTCGCGACGGGGCCCACGGTCTAGAAGACATTCGAGAAACTTCTCGACCCAGCCCCTCGGCCTGCTGGCACAATAGGGCATTCCCACAAATGCCTACCCGTTGCAGAAGTCCTCATGAAAAGGGAGCAGTATTCATAGTGAACCCCAGTGTCGTAATATACTTGTACATAAAATAAATTTTCAATTGTCCGAATCACGATCGAACTGCAACCCAACAAAATACGAAAACGGAGCCCCGGACGCGCGTTGCCAGCCAGTTCGCGTGAATAGGCCGGACCAAACCCTTATGCTTTTAGCGCGGAGTGGTGATGAATGTTTGCTTCGCAGGCATGCCATGAAGGGTCGAATTTTTGAAGGAACTTGTATTTTTTGGGAATTGCTAAGATACCCAGGAGATACCAAACAGTAACAACCATGAATGCGTAAAACAATGCAAGACGTCGAGCTTTATACAGGCGAAAGTATCTGTCACCGAATACGTTGTGACATCAACCTGAAACTAGCTCATGAATGTTTCACTGTCGATCAAAGTTTTAAAATGGTTTACTTGCTAGGAAATCTCTACCTAGGCTATTTGCCGCCCACTAAATACAAATATGGCACCGCTCAGCGCGAAAATATCTCACTGGCGCGCACAAAGCACCTGTACACCTAAAAATTTCTCCTAGAAATGAACGCACTAACGCCGCCAGTAATCGAGACCTAATAACTGTTTTCAGGCAAGCCATGAGAACGTCTAAGTAAACGCACGCCACCATCATTTGCCACGTTTCCGCTGGAAGCAAAATAAGTCTCAACACTGATCCGTCCATAACCTAGTTTCGTGTAAACTGCGAGGGACAAGCTACATAACTCCGTTCAGAGAACGCTTTATGCAATTTTAAAAGGCAGATTCGAGATCACCGCGTCTAAACACATTCTAGTGACTAATATCCAGTACAGGATGCTACTTCGCCTGAAGACCTTCCCTATGTCAGTACTTATCTGAGCTTTTTTTAGGAGCTAATTCACGCAATTTGCAACTACCCGCCTCTGCATACGTTATATTAAGAGCATCGCGATCTCTGGAGCAAAAAAACTCGTCAAAAACACAAAGGTTTCCATCACAATAAATTTGGCAAACGCCGCGCTTCAACATTCAGCGTTCCTAACGGCTCCATGCATCGTTTGTTCCGCCACAGCTGCTCGATCAGTGCCAATGGATAAAAGGTATCAGACTCCAGGATACTGTGGCTAAACAGGTGATGGCTTCACTGTCACACTTTGCAAGGTCTCTAGTAAAACTATGAAAATTTGAACAGTGTTCTCATCTTCTCAGTACAATGATTTGAGCGATCTCAAAGCCGACGCACCGTGACGTACCACTCCAAACTACACTCACCTGGCTCTCCCAAGGTCTCTACTAGTATATATGAAATTCGCAGATCTGACATCTCTCTGAATCCGGCTTGAACACCTTGATCTACAACCTCTCTCCTAGAATGAAAGAAAATTATCGGCTCCCTCTAAGAAGAGATCTGCATAAAGTCATCCCGATTACTCTACACCCCATTCCATACCACTAAAGGAATGGTTCGTGTTTGATTTTGGAAATACCCTTGTACAAAAGCCACTGTGACTATGTCTTTACAAAATCTCTATTTAACGAGGTAAATGGCGCATTCACTTGCAAAGTCGATGAAGACCGTGCGACTTAACTACTCAACAGCGTCAGCTGTTCTTTAGATTTCTGCATGCAGTGCGGTATTTGGTTTCTCACTGATTTTCTCTCCCATTGAGCGCTTGAATCTGCCCGCTAAAAAAGCAGTGGAAAGAATAGTTGAACATATGCTGACTTATTACAAATACTTCTAATTTGAGCCTGCTCGAATGCCGCTAAAAAGCAGTGGAATATCGAATATTTTGAACATCGCTGACTTGTTTGACGAATATTCTTTTCCCTATTACAGAACGGCGAACTGAGTCATTTACGGATGGAGCTGGATCGTATGCAATCAGCCGGTCTGCGTAAGGACATTCGCATTTCAGAGCTCATCAAAGAGTTGGACGCCGCAAAAACTAGAGTGAAAGGACTAGAGGGTAAGTTCTTCTTCAATAGGAACGGAAGTGAACGCGTGGCCTTCGACGTACTTCCTTGAAAATGGCCTCGTAAAGGCTTTGCTCGAACTTTGTGAAAAATTTCAAACTTTCACTGTTTTCTTCTCCTGGTGTAAATGCTGCGAAGTGGGCGATATTCCTTCTATTGCGCAGTGCGCAGTTTTCCTAAAGTGTAGTGCCAATTGTGAATGACCTTAGCGGAGTACTGTTCGTTTTCCCAATTTTGCAGTCTTGCTCTTTGCAAATGAGGGGGCGTGTCAGGCGAGATAGGTAAAGCACGGCGCCCAACCCATTCTCCCCCAACGGTAGAAGCGAGCAAGCAACAAGACTGCATCATATCGTCCTATCTCACTTCCACCAATTGTTGTTGCTTATCAGCTTCAACAACTGGTAGAGGACGGGTTTGGCGCGCAAATCCATCTCACTGACCCGCCCTTTCGTCCGAAGCGAACGAGATGTATTTCGAGCATCTATCTTCAAAGGTACTCTTCCTTACAGTGCTCCTTAATCCAGGACTTCACGGCGACGGGCATTTAGGTGAACCCTAGAATAGCCCAGTGATACACTTCGACTTACTACTATCCTAGAGAAATCTTCCTCGGGATAGGTACTTGCCTGAAGAAGGCGAAGAAGCCAAACCTGGGTAGAGTAATTTTGTAACAAAGTTGGAAGGCTCGATAAAGACTATCAGTTAGATACCTGATGCCAACATTACGAAGTCGGTCGTGGAATAGACTTGCAACTTATGCTAGGTAGGCCCAATAGAGCCATTCTAGCCCTCATGGTTGACACGTGTCGACTACTGTCGCATGCGCATTTTTGCGTACATCAGCTGACTCCAAGGGGTATGAAACAAGAGAATTGTAATACCGCTGCTCTGGTAGGTGTCACCTGCGACGTTGCGTCCGCAAATAATGATGGTTCCAGGCAGCAGATGGCGACAGCAGGCATTTCAGAACCGAAAATGGTCATGATGCCTACAATGACAGGGTCTACATGAAGTTTGGTGCATCAATCGACAGGTTAATACGAGTTGAGAAAACACCGCGCCCATTGCCGCGCGCGGCGGAGCAGCAAATTGCGATTCTCTTGTCCTCTCCCGACTCCCAGGAGGCTTTATTTAGGCCTCTACACTTGAACGCCAGAACGTACGACTTGCAGCACTGCTGTTGTTCGTTCCCGGGTCATCTGGCTCTCAAGCGCTCATCGTCCGCTTTTTTTACGCAAGCCATAAGATCGTCGAAATCATCGGCACTCCGCAATGTAACGATTAATCGCACTGCAACAAGATTTGCAATAGCGCCAAAGCTCACGGTAGCGTTGGCCATCTCTCTACCCAAAGCAAAAATAATGGAGAACATAGCGTCTGATCCTCTTAGCGAAATGTGTAATTCCAAATTTTAATATCCTTACAGAACCTTCATTCTCATTCATTTTAGATGTTATTCGAACATATAAAATCGGTTTTCAGAGCTGTGCAGGAACCATATGGGCAATGTCCGACTACCTTCTCATCCTTCAATAGAAAAGACGTCTACAGAAGATGAAGAAACTGGTACGTTTACGTATTCAGTAATACAGACATGTATTTGTCACGTGTTTGTTCTAATCACTCCAAATATATGTCGGATAAATATATAAGATAATTTCGCCAACGGGTTCCCAGAGGACATCCATACGACAAAGACGGTTGGGGGGCAGCGGCGGGCTGCCATCTCACCAAACAGGGAGAGGGTGTATCTTTGTAAATTAGTACCCACTCACTGAAAATGACGTGAACGACGTGATGATACCAAATGGAATGATAGTAGTTTGTTGAATAGTGTAGTAAGCGAGAGGGACGTTGCTGGTGCTGACCAGTTTGCGAAATGGGTCAAGCATTCAGCTTCTACTGTGTATACCAGAAGCGCCTGAGTGATAGCCTGAGTAGGCAAGTTTCGTTGAGGGGAAAGCTTGGTTGATTTAGGTAATGTGCATCTCCAAGTCGTGTAATTATGATAGGGCGTGTCCTGCAGTCGTGGTGGTTCCAGTCAATCAGTGGTTGTACAACATTGCATAAAATTCGAGGTTTCATGATAACGTAACTTTCCAAGATCATAGGCTGATTGGCAAATACCTTAAAATGAAAAATGATAAGTCTCTGCTGATAGTCAATCATGCGGCACGCTGTCTTTTTACATTCAGTAGCGGTTCACTCTGGGATCCGGTGGGATTAGCTTCTGCTCAGGCCTTGGTTGACCTGAGCAGGAGCTGATCCCCCGGTTTTAACCTCGTGTGGTATCATGTGGTACGCCTAGACCAGCAACAATGTGCGTTGAACATTTCGTTTCGTGTCTAGCTAATCCTAAGCCTTCGTGGCGAAGGGGGTAATTTTGCGTCGGTATTTAAATGTCCTGCTTGCTGTGATATAACCGCTCTATTCTATGTGGCCTTTCGAAAATGAAACTGATATTATTTAACAACGTGTCATACTGTTCAGTGTTGCCCATGAATAAATACACTATGAATGACCTCCCCTCCTAATGAAAACGAGGCTCACTTTTTTTTCTCAAATCTGAAATATTCAGAAGGTGGTGCTCAGCAGAACGATCCAGCCAGCGGTACCTCAGACGATCAAACTATGCCAGTGAGTACATCCAAGGACGCCAACGTTCGCGCAATGACAGCTGGTCCACGGCCATCGCTACGGAAAATTTTCACAACATCCAGAGATCATCGAATTGATGGAAAAGGTGTAATGGAATCTTCAAAATATGTTTATTTTCGAGCACATAACAGAAAAATTGGGCAGCCATCTGCCCACCTTCCTCTTCCAGGAAATAACAGTTCTTGGAAAGCAGCGCTGGTAGTTTCCACTGTAGAAGTCGCGCCTGGCCTTTATGTTGAGATAGCGTTGCCGAAGTTGGCTTTCATGTACGATTATTAAGATTAAGGAGTTCACAACCTAGGACGACAAGGGATTCGTGTTTTCATGGAAGAGACACGTCAATGGGGCGGGGGGGGGTCGTATGCGTGACCAGCTCGACAAGCAACACAAATGCAGCAACCATATCTGTGCCATTATTCCTTTCCAGTACTGTATCATTAATAGCGCTGGGTCGTATGGAAACCTTTTCTGGGATGGGGATGTTCCTGATGGCCCATCATTCATGCTAAGACTATCGGTGAGGGAGGATGCAGGAAAATATCCCATTCCGCGATAATGTGCACTACCGCTGTTCCTTCTGCCATCCATTTGTGTCCACCAAAGCGTATTTCCATAGCTTTTTGGACTGTCGTCCAAGGAGGTCGAATTCTTGATCTTCAAGGAGTTTATAGATTCGGTCCCAAATCAGCCTCTCGCATCGGCTTTGAATGTAGTTACTGGTAGAGCAAACCTTTCATCCTATTCGTTGGAATCTTTCTGCAGGATAGGAATAGGTTACAGCTATCGAAAAAAGCGGTACCTCTCCTTCAAAGGGTCGTTCCATGTGTGCGGCAAATGGGTCCGCAGCTGCAATAGCGGGCTACCTTCTTTGCTTAAGGATGCGCGGAAACTGGGATGGAGTGGTGATACTTGACGCGGCTTCATGCTCCCAAGGCAATTTCCTAAGATACAGCACTAGCGCAGTCACTATGGTCCCGCAGCGAAACACATACCTAGCGGTAGAGAACAACCAGAAGTGAGTGGGCGCAGAGAAAGAGCAGGTTTGGCTACGACCAGGAAGTGGCCGGCGGCGCAGCAGAGCGAGGTGGAGTATGGAATGGGCACCAGGGTTACGCTACCCTCCAGTCTCATACCCGTGCAGTTTTGGCATGTCACTGCAGCTGCGGACCCGTTCAGTGACACATGGCAAGGAACAGAATCTACGGAAGCGATCGCACAGTTTGCCTTCACCAGCATAACAAGTTTTACGTCACCTTTCGGTTAAAACCTTTGCTGAACGCCTGAGGCTTCCCTAAACGTTTCCGATATTCCAGCGCGTCCCAGTACTGCAGTCAATTCGTCACTTGAACCGTCTGCCCCGCCTCCACTGGATAGATCCGATACAGTTCCTGTGCTGAGAAGCGTGCAGATTCTGAACAATATCCCTCGAGACAATCAACATCCAGATGAGGTGAGTGCAGGTATGAATAGATGAGTTTGGACCTATCTGACTTTGCCTTTTCAGCAGCCATCTAGCAAAGATTATCACGATAACCCCTATCTCACAGACAAGGACATTGTTGAAATCACCGAAAGCGAAGACTCAGACATCGACATCACCGATATTCTCGAAAATTCCACGCGATCTGCTGCCTTGGTTCGTTTTCGGTGATTCGATTCGGTTGTATTCTTGAAGATGATCACCTGAAATGGAGATATGCTATCGTTTGTCCTCCAACGTGATAGGTGGAAATGAGTTCTCGTTCTCTTGTGGGAGCAATTGGAAAGAACCCTCATTCCCACGGTGCTCATTCCCTTGTAAGGTAACCACTTGTACAGGGTCTTTCATTACGTACGAAGACATCGATGTTCAACTAATGACAACTCATTCGCCTAACACAGGGTAGCCAGGTATCGTTGGGGATCCCTCAGGGGACGCAACTGGTCACCGGGGATGGGAGATGGGATCATACTTGCCTTGAGAAAAAAAATTTTTCCGAGCCACGAGAGAACTTTTCATTGGGCTTTTCATTTCATTTTTCACTCGGCTTTTCCCGTTTTCAAATTTGCTAGATGCTCTCCTCTCCCCCTCTACTTCCCTTGGCAGCAGATTCCAGGAAAAATGGAAATATTGAAGATTTTCAGAGAAGTGGAAAGTGGTAGAAATTTGAGATCAATCAACGATCCAGGTACAGTTGACATGGGTCGGGTGGCTTCAGCGCTTCCCACCTGCGGAGTTTTCACCACTGGTTGTTTTCATCCTAAATCGATCACAACCTGATCGCCATTGGTAGAACAGGAAAGCTGGAGGCGGGCCCATCCCACCCTTTTTACGCCGTCCCCGATTGACTACCATGTTGTAAACATAATAGGAAAGAAAGTCGTAACAGATGAGGAAATTTCGATGGAGAGGGGGTGGGGAGTAAAAAAGCGTGCGTCGTACTGACACTGCCTTTCTCCCCATCGCGATGTTGTACCCTGATTTCAACAAAGTTAAAGCTCTGTCATGCAAATGGCAACGTGAAAACTATTATTTTCCTATGACAGATTCCAGATAAAAGGAATTTCTTGAAAATGCAAAGAATGGGGCTGCAAACCACGGATGCCTTCCCCTCTCAATTGGTGGAGGACCTGGCTGCTCTGGCTGTGCATCAATTCACAGCCCTTAACACACCCTCTCGTCTGCGAAGATAATGACTGTAGGTATATAGCAACAGATTTCCTAGGATAGAACAGCACCCCTGCAAAAAAAATGCAAATGTATGCTATGAGTACCTGGCCGCCACGAAGAACTTTCATTCTCTATCGCGATTCCTTGGATGAACCTGTCCTTATTGCTAATCCGTCTTTTAAAATGTATTTTTGGTTAGCTGTAGGACTTTTTGCTTGTCGATTTAGTATTCTCTGTAATTTTTCTTCTTTCAGTCCACGCGAACACAATCGAGCAAGAGCCGTGATTCAGGAATATGCCGAGGAGACTCCTTTCCAACAAAGCATACACTTAATAAACAAATTGTGTAGTCATTGTAGCTAACACATTGCTCACCTGAAACACATTGCTGTTCTAACTGAGAGACATATGATAACCTCGAAGGCGTGAAAGGTGCAGGTTACCACCCCGACATCGAAGTGTATATAAATCTATCTGATGGATCCCCTAGCAGCAAAAATTGTCTTGTCCTGGAAGACAGACTCTCGCAAAGTACTAAGATAAGTGGAAGGGGTTCGTGTACACACTTCAGTAGGATTCTTTTGGGTTGTCCCAAACGTTCGTGGAATTTTCGAACATTTTCCTCGAGTCAAGTTAATTCCAGTGAGGAGCAGTTTTGATCATTAATATATATGCTTACCTTCATTGGCAACTGTCTCCATTAATAATCAAAACTGACAGTACCCACATGTGCGGACGAATTGGTTTTAATTTAACACTGTAGGTCCAATCCAAGGCAGCTGTTTTTTAGGAAGGCCCCCGAAGTTCATGGCACGAGTTGTAGCAACACTGGGGAACTGCTTCCAGCAGGTCATTCAGAAGAGGTTACAGAGCATCGGTGGAGGGATATAAGTTGTCACTAATACTAGATACAACTTAGGCAACTATATAATTCAACATAACGGTTCAGTGAGCAACATTTTCAAACTGATCGTAAAATTTTTACCCGTTTCTCAACATTTCTTATAAGATTTTCGGTCACTCCGCTAAGATTGTTCGTCAAGACGCGAAATCCGCCTCCAGGGCAAATCGTTGGTTGGGAATTCCCGCAACAGGGGGGTCGTATTTTTGGCCGCCAGGAGAGGGGGGGGTCGTAGTGAGTGCGGCAGCCAGTAACGAGCAGCGCAAATTGTCAATGTGCTGAGTCCTGTACAACGAAACTTGCTTTGTAGAGAACTCGGATATGCAAAAATAGTACAAAACTTTCATTCATCAAACTAATCCGAAATAACTGCAAATATTAATAAGTCGACATTATCTCGTAAGTCCGTTGGTGACTAAACAGTACAACTCAAACTCTGGTTCGCTGCCAATGTCCGCGGTCGCGCTTGACGCTGAGCAAACCTGTTTTTTTCTCGACAAGCGACAGGACTACCATATCGTTCGTATAGGCGTTTTCCAGCAGTTGGTCTCCTTTATCGGAGTCAGCGATTGGCGGAGCACGAATCTGGCAGCGTTGACAGGGACATGTTCCATCATACGCACGGAAAACACTTGTAAACAAGTGCACAGGCTCGCCCATTGGACCTCCCTGAACCGTTTTTTTTTTTTTTTTTTTTTTTTTTTTTTTTTTTTTTTTTTTTTTTTTTTTTTTTTTTTTTTTTTTTTTTTTTTTTTTTTTTTTTTTTTTTTTTTTATAGACACATTTGCTCGCGTGAACAGACATTACGCACAAGTTGCACCATCCCATCACCTCTGCGCGGCCCTCAGTGCGCGGCGCATCCAAAGTTGGCGTGATCGGCGCTAAACGAACCATATCCTGCTCCTGCTCCACCACAGGATACGTTCTACATGCGTCCTGGCTATTCGAACACGCTCACTTGAAACGGTGCACAGGAAACGGGTTTTTCGCGCGGCTGGGAGTGCTCCCTAAGAAATCCCCATCGCGAGATCTCATGAATCCCGAGAGCTTCAGGAACAGTTCAATAGGTTTTTAGAAAGAGAAAATCTTGAGAAGCTCGGATCCGTTCTCAGATTTGTGAAATGTTGAGTTACAAAAAAAATATATTGATTCAAACCTGTTCAACTTGAACTTCAACCCTTCACTCCCCAACGAATCCCTATGGCAGCTTTCTCTGTGATTTTCGCGACCTTCATGAACATTTTAGTACTTTCAGGAAGATCAAAAACCTATCTAATTTACCGCAAAATACGCTCTCCTCTTCCCCACAGGTCCGCTTTTGAGGAAGTTATGGTCCTTCAAAGACACCCTACTTTGCTGAAAATTCTCGCTCCATGGCTAATAGCCGTTTGCTCCAGTCAAAGCTGCAATTCATACCCAACTCTGCTACCGTACGATTTCTGCGGAAATTCTGCCCCTCAAATCAAGTGCACTGGGGTCCTGCGCACAACAACTGGATTTCCATTTGTTTTAACAAATCGTTGGAGATTCTTCGAGTTTGATTAGGCAACATGCCATTTATTTATCGTTCATGTTTATTGTTCCTGTTTGTTTTTTTTCTCCTTTTTCCTTCCTTTGCGCTCATAAGTTTTCCTAGTTTTAGTGAGCGTTCAAAATAGCTTTGAGTTGTGTTTATTTCCTCTCGATTTTTTTCAGATTCACGTAGGGAACAATAAATAACAACTCGAAGCTATTCCTGAACGCTGCACGTAAAACTAGGAGCTTTTTTTTCCCATGTATATAGTTGTTGTTTTACAATGAAGCTGAAGTCTGAAGCTTGTGTTTTTGTGTGAAAAAAACCAAACCAAAAAAAGGGGGTCGTACCGAACCCCCCAAAAAGGGGGGGTCGTACGAGCTCGACCAAAATCCCATCGAATGCTGTGCCCTGTCCGCCTCATGCTTCACCAGTACAAACTCGGCCGTAATGCTGCGGAAGCAGCTAGGAATATACACACCAGCGCATGGGGCGAAGGTACTATTCAAATGAGCGCACCACGCGTAGATGGTTCGACAAATTCCGAAATGGAGACTTCAACCTGGAAGATCAGGAGGGACGCGGTCGGCCATCGGAAGTTAAAGACGACGAATTGAAGGCACAGATAGAAGCCAACCCAAGAGGGAAATTGCTGAAGAGCTGGGAGTTGACTTCGGAACTGTAGCACGTCATTTGAAGAAAATTGGGAAGGTAAAAAAAACTTGACAAGTGGATCCCGCATGAGTTGACTGAGCACCAGCAATCTCGTCGTCTCGAAGTCTGTTCGTCTCATCTTTTGAAAACGATCCTTTTCTGCAACGCATTGTGACATGTAACGAAAAATGGATTCAATACGACAGTAGACGACGGTCAGGACTGTGGTTGGATCACTCCTAAACATTTTCCAAAACCAGAGTTGCACCAAAAAAAGGTCACGATGATGGTCTACAGCCGGTTTGATCCGACACAGCTTCCTGGCTCCAGGAGAAACCATCACAGCGGAGAAGTACTGTGAGGAAATCGAAAAATGCACCAAAAATTGCATCGGATTCAGCCGGCATTAATCAACAGAAAGGGCGCGATCCTACTCCATGACAACGCCCGACCGCATGTTTCATTGATGACAACAAAAAACTGTCGTAGACATGTTGCCAAGAACCATTGCGATAGGTACGGCTGCATGTGTGTACTCATATATCCATGCTACACCGCAGCCGATTCCTACAATCCCTTCTTCAAAATTTGTTCAGCTGATGAAGCAATATGAGCACGCTCGTCCAGTTGTGGGCGAACGGGCGCGTTGGGCGTTCGGGTCGGTATGTTGTGGCTTGATAGGGCCCTTATAAGGGCACCTCCCTTGGAAAAGGCATTATGCAGCGCCTGCTCAGGGTCGCGGAATTCCGTCCTGCCAGCGTATTGATCCTATTCGTCTCAGAGATTTATCGTGCCACCTGCCTTTAAAATGCAGCCTTTCGCTTCCCATGAGCGCCGTACCTGAAAGAAAAGACATTACTCCTAGAAGACTACTGCTTTCCTTGCCCTGTCAACAAGTTCGCTTCACCACTATTTAGCGATGGGGTGCGAAGCGACTGCGAGCGTTTCATATCTCTGCGTAGCTGACCCTTTTCGTGCCAAGAATTAGAGCTTGAAGGAGGGAGTCGTACCGGACCCCCCTTCCCTTCAAGCGAGTTCATACTCACACCGCCATTTCGCGCGACGCTGTACCCTGCCATCGC